CTCTCTGTAAATAAAAGATATATTTCACTTCAGCCTTCGACGGTTTCTTAGAACTGGTGCCATAAAGATCGATTTACAGTACTTTTGTTTCCCCCGGTAGCAGTGATAAGAATTGCTAACACAAAAGGGACGCTTCACCATCTCGCACAGGATGAGTCATTTGGTATGATAGCCATCGCATCTTTGCGGTTACCAAATGAGAGAACTCAAGCTAGGGGCGTGGGTGTGCGGGCTGTTTCAAATTGACTCAATTATACAAGCTGAGCCCCCGCACGCTGCTTTTTTAAAAAAAAAACAACAACAAAACATTTCCGAATCCCTAAATCGTCGGAAACCTGGAGGGGAATTTTTTTTTGTTTGTTTCATACCAGAGAAGACGACGCAGCTTAGCATTAGTAGTCAAACCCGTACAGCTCTGGTTATTTCGGTATCAGCTGTCACTATTGTTTCCTGTTATCATCTGTCGAATGCTCGCTGTTTGGGATGGGGGGGAATCCTGAGCACGGTGACGTCAGAGCTACGTCAGCGCGGCGCTGTGTTTCCATGCTGCTCAGGTAATAGAGTGGCGGCCATATTCGCATCTCTAGGAAGAAAAAAAAAAAGCGCTGGGCTTTTTAGCCGAGCAGGGATTAAGCCAGTCCGACAGACCCCTTCGCCGGCGCCGGTTTGCCGTCTGGCCCCCTCTCCCAGAGCACCGGGCGGAAGACTGCAAGGCGGGCGAGAGTGGTCCTTTTCGCTCCAGCGACGAAGAAGGAGGGGGATACACCCGGGCGGGCAGCGCCAGCAATGCTCTCTGAGACACGGCGCTAGGGTGACTTACGATGCCTTTCGCCCAGCCGCAGGATTCCTGGCACAAAATGGAGGTGCACAGCGTTTGTAGCGAGGTATGTGGTTGCATCGGACGCGATCGTGTGGTCGAAGCACCCCCCTTGGCCGTGTCGCCGGTGACTGCCACGGGCGGACTTGAGTGAGATGGGGCTCGGTGTCGTTAGCGTCGGCTCGGCTGCGGTAGGCCTAAAGCGGGGCAGTTCTGTTCACTGGGCTCCGGTCTGTAATTCTGAAGCATGAAGACCGAGCTTTTTAACTTTGAGGACCGAGGGCTGCGCCGCGGGTGCGCGCCTGTCGGACGGGGATGAGTCGCCCGAGTCCGGCGCATCGGGGTGGTCCCAGCTCGGGGTGTCTTGTCAGTACTGCCCCGGGGCCACGCAGAGCACTGCGTGGAGCGAAAGGGGCAGAAATCAGACCGCTTCTCTTTTCCCCTGCGACTGTCACCCCGGCGGTGTGCGCTTATATTAGGAAGCTGACCCGCACTACATCAAGTTTGCATGTGTATCGAGCGTAGCAAAGCGGCTGAAGTGGGGATTTAAGACGAGTCCATGCCTGTGTGGTTCGTCTGCCGTCATTAGAAATTTAAATTTCACGAGGGGGGCTTAAACTTGAGGTGGCCTCGGTCATCCAATAACACAGCTGGCTTTCGGATTCGGGACTGCGATGTCCGCCCGAAGACCTTAAACTGTCCACTGGCACAGTTTCATTTCCTGCCGTAAACGTGCTGTGGCGAAGAAGAGCCGCCGGAGCTGAAAGCCCCAGCCGACAGATCCTTTCCATTTTCCTCCGGCGGGCGTAGTTGCAGATGGGGGGGGACAGCGCAGCCTGTTCACTTTTGCAGGTTGTGGGACGAGAGCGCCGAATCCCTTGCACAATCCCTGGCTGTGTCTGTCGTTTAAACGCGAGAAAATCTCCTGGTGGTTTTTTTTTTTTCAGGTTGATTTAGCGAGTGGCTGTCAGCGCATCTGCCTATTTGAAGATATTGTGCGTTGTACAGATGGTGCCGTATTTAAAACAGGGTCGTTTTTTTGACCGCTTTCTCTCTGCGGTGTTCAGAGCTCGTGGATCGGAGGGTGCTGATTTATGTGAAACTATGTGTATGTGGGGCTGAGGTTGTACTGTACATGCCTTAACTGCTATTGGGTAGGAAGTCGGGGGCCACTGAGAGACTTCTGTCTTTCCTGCTGTCAAATAAACGTTAAGGTATTACCTTTTTTGCTTTCTAGTTTTTTTTTTTTTGGAGTGCCTTTTCTGGCGAGCTTAGGAACTGAACTGTAAGTGGAGAATTCAGTGGCGCTTCACACGCGTGGTTGTGGTGCGGCTCCGAAGAAAGACGTTTCCTCTGAATTGATCCCTGCGTGGATTTAATCCACCCTGCCGGTGGTAACACCCGAGTTGTAACAAGGGGGTTGGGGGGGATCTGAGCTGCCGGCCGCCCGGCTCGCCCGTTGTCATTAATCACTTCCACCCGGGGGGTGGGTTCGCATACAGCGCCGAACTGCGCGGCGGGTTGCAAAGGGAGAGGAGCGCTTTGGGAGTCGTGTCGTGCTGACCAGCGATTACAACACACCCCCCCCCGCCCGGCCGTCGACGTCACAGTTGTTGTTTTTGCTGCTGGAACGATCGGAGAACGAGGGAGAACTGGGGCGCGCTCGCGAACAGCACCCCCCGACACCCGTCCGCGCGTCCCCCAGACTGGGGGAAGAAGATCTGCGTGGGAGGGATTTGTGGGGTGCTGGGAGGGGGGGGGGGGTCAGTTGTGTTGTGGGACGCCTGGCACCGGGGATCTGCGAGAGACGGTGACGGAGGTTCAGGACGCTGCATCCCCGCAGAGCCCAACACGGATGAGCACAGACACACAAACCCGTTTGTCCCCAAGCGAGGAGGGGGGAGTCACCATCACCATCCCCCCCAAACAAAAATAAATGCTGCGCGCAGGTGCATTTGTCAAACTTTGCCGAAGAAGAAGAAATTGCACCCCCCAACCCCACAGTTTCTCTATTGCAGACGTTCTGTTTGTATCCTGAAGCTGGGGTCGGCGGGAGGGGGATGAGTTGAACCTGTTGGGCGAGTCGGGCCAGAGCCGGCCCGGGCGGGCGCTGATCCGCGCTACGGGGTGGAGTGCGGCTTCGTCGTAAAAACGGTGGTCGTTGTCAGGAAACAGGCGGGGCTCAGTGAACGAAAGAAACGTGACTGAATGGGTAGCCACCTCCGTTTCTGCGGTTCCATTATCCTTTGGATTCCCGTGCCTTCTAGTGTGCGTTAATACCCGGGACACAGCTGCTGTTGGAGCGACAATAGCCCCATTTGTGTGTGGGGGTAAAAAAACACTCTCTGACCTTTAGCCAGCAGCTGCCCCTTTGTCCCGTGACGTTCTCGAATGGGGGAGTTCTGTACCGCCGGGTCGCAGCGGGTCTGGGCGCGACTCGGCGCTGGCCGGAGCAGAAACAGAGTTCGGCGAGCTGTGAGCCACGCCTCTTGCTTTCCTCGGCGTCCTTGTCGAAGGGCTTCACTTCCGCGGAACTGAAGGCGGTGAAGCCCGGTCTTTGTGGGCCCCGCGGCTCCGGGAGATATCCGTGGCACGAGTCGGAATGGTTGCAGCCAGCCAGCCAGCCGGCAGGCGGGCCCGGGAATGTCTCCCTGTCGTAAACTGGTGGCACCCCAGTAGCGTCTGATAAAAGTCTTTTTCCCTCACGCCTTGCCTGATCTTCAGGGCCTTTTCCTCCTTCGCCAGCTCATACATAAGTGCCTTTATGTGTCCTTCAGGTCATTCTAATACAAATAATAATTCCACACACTTAGCGAGCACTTTTCTGGACACTCCACTCAAAGCGCTGTACAGGTAATGGGGATCCCCTCCACCACCACCAGTGTGCAGCCCCACCTGTATGATGCAGCGGCAGCCAGGGTGCGCCTGTACGCTCCCCACACACCTGGGCACCTGGGGAGGAGAGCAGAGCCTCACTTTTTAAAAGAGATCTCGGTGACGTCAGCCGAACGTGGAACAGGTGCAAGCAGCATAAAACATCCTTGTACGTTTTTTTTTTTGTGGCCAATACTTAATCCAGAAGGACTTCGTGTGCATACAGTTCTGTACAGTGAGGTGGTTTGGTTTAGAAGCCCTTCGCCTTCGGTTTCTGTCAGAAAGGCGAGGAGACATCCTTAAAAACAGGAGACACCTCGCGGCCCGGGATGTATTTCCGGCCTGCGTTCCCTTGGCCTGATGGATGCGATCGCGGTGTCCTGACAGTGTTTAACTTTCACGGGAGAGTGTGTGGGGCCGTCTGGGAGGAGCTGAGGCAGCTGGGCTTGCCAGGCAGGCAGATTGAGCGCGCCGAGGTGCCTCGGATCCCGTTCTGCTGATTTCATTGCGGCTGCCTTCGGCGGGTAGCTTTCTGTGCGAGGGATCTCCCTCCCGGTCCTTGCCCCGGGGGCAGGGGAGACCCTCTGAGGAAAGACTGCAAGGCGAGCTGACCGCCGGGGAGCTGAGCTCAGTGCTGACCGGCTAACGGAGCAACTCGCAGGGGCGTGATCGCGGAACCTGCCTTCAGCCACACAGGTGCCCCCGTGTGCAAGCTTGTCGGTCTTCAGCACTGCAGGAGGGGGGTCTCTCTGGTGACGTTCTCGTTCGCCCGGAGAGACTCTCGTTGGCCCGTCTTCCCTCGAAGGAGCTCCTGTTGTCTTTGGTTCTCTCCTGGGCTGCGGGGCCCGGGGGGGGCAGAGGCATGTCAGCTGCGCCCCCCCCGAGCTCGGTTCTTATCGTATTAAAGTCCACGCCGGCCTTGTCTTCCATCTGCCCCAGCAGCTACTGCCCTGGGGCTGAGGGGTTCTGATTTAAAGTCTGGCAGCTCGGGTTAAGTGGGAGAGGAAGAGACTGGGAATTCGGACCCCCCCCTCAGGAATGCAGGCAGGGCGGTTTTGTTTGCACAGCGCTCCCCAGTACAACCGCGGATATCTGGGTGCTCCAGCACAGCCCCTGGACGCCAGCTGCAACCGGGTTCGAAAACGGTCTTGCGGTGGATCGGGGACTGCGGCGGCTGCTCGTCAGCCCACGCGCCCGCCCACTTCCACTCATCTCCCGTGGCATCGGCGGCTAAGAAGCTGTGGGGTTTTTCAGTCCCATCCTGCTTTGATTTATTCAAAGCAAAGCAGAACTCCAGGACCACTTCTGTCTTGCGGAGAGTGATATCGGATTTAGCTGGTTTGTTTAAGGCATGCATCGCGATTGCATTTCAGGTTGTGTGAGGATTTAGGGGACAGGTGTTTAGGGGTGCGCAGGCTACGCTTAGTGCTTGATGTAGCAGACAAAAGTGCCCAGCTGCTGTCCAGTATTTTTCGAGGGTTGGACTGGCTTGTCCTGACCTCTCATCGCTGAACTTTGCACCTTTATTTCAGCTCCGCTGTTTCCCCGAGATCTCACTGAAGGTCGTGGGGTGATGGGGCCTTCGCTGTCTGTGCACCTCGACTTTGGGACCCCCTTTCAGTTAATATTGGGGAAACCTGACCCTGCAAAGCCTGTTTGTTTATGCAGGATATTATTCATTTTTAACGACTTCATCTTTTTCCAGTTTTTATCTGTAGCATGAAAAACACTCATAAAATGAACACGGGTGTTTTTTTCACAGAAGGCAAAACCTAACACTATCAGCTTGTTCTTTATGTGAGGGGTGTATCTTGAAGTAAAAGCAGTTAAAAAGTTGTCGCCGTTGAATATTCTTGCTCCCCGTGCTGGTGTCTCTGTGTGTCCAGATGTGTGCTTGCTAGAGCTGTCCAGTACATCAACAGAGCTGCACCGCGACTCCCGACTCGGGGTGCCCGGTACACTGTGCAGAGGAGTGCCGTTCGGCATTGTGCTTGTGCGCGTTGCTTTGGCCGGTTTGAGCACATTGCCAGCGATGGGAATCGTTCACTCGCTCAGGGGGGTGCGAGCCGCCTGTTTGTCTCCTCTGGGTGTGTTGCACAGACACATCGACATAAATACTGCGCCCGCAGGACGATACGGGCCTCCCTGTGGCGGCGTGCTCGGGTAACCGCGGTCGCCCTCTTTTCCGGTTTTGTTTACATTTCAGCCCGACTCTCAAACCCGGGGGGTTGGTGGGGGGGAGCGGCGTCTCTCCTCCCCGGCTCCAGGAAAAAGGTTCAGATCCTCAGGGAGACCCTCCCCCCCCCCCCTTTAGTTACCCGGTTTCGGTTTGACCCGTTTCCGGCACTGGCGTCTGGCGCTTCGTTAAACGACAACTTTTTTTTTGCGCCGTTACTTCCGAGAGAAGTACGAAGCGGATCCCCGTGGACTTGCAGGTCTCGGGAAAACCCACAGCGCGCACACTCGGGGTGGGGGGAGTGGGTGGGTGAAGAAAACGGGTTTCATTGCAGCTGTGGTTTGCGCACCGAGTTTGTCCCCCCCCTCCCCTCCCACCATGTGGAGCGCGGAGCCGGATGGGAGACTTCCTCGCTGCGGGCCAGAGAGGAGGAAGAGAAGCGGCCGGACAGCGGGGGTGGGGAGTGGCGCTGACCGCCCTGGAGGAGCTTCGCTCCGGATCACGCCCGGCGTGGGGGGTGCGCGGGGCGTTGGGAAGTGGGACAGACGACTTTCTTGTTTTGGTTTTGTTTGCTGTCTGCACCAGGGCGAGAAAAGCTCTCTGGAGCCGGAGCCGCCCCGTGTGGAGGATGCCCGGTCTCCGCCTGAGCTTCTGGCTGCAGCGTTTGACCTCAATCTCTTCCTGCTGCATGCAGACTTATGCAACGGCTTGTGTGGAGTTATATAATACTGTGCGCAAGGTCCTTCATTATATAACCGCCTCGCCCGGAGATGAGTCGTGCATGAAAGGAATTTCGCGAGTGACGTCGCGCTTTGGTTTTTAAGCCTGTGAGCAGGCGGCGCTTTAACCCCGGAGGGCGATGCGAAATGACAGTAACCAGACGCCAAGGACGAGGGGGTGGGGGTGATGTTTGTGCAGAAGATGAAAACCGCGCCGGCCTTCCAGGTCCGACAGGAAGGACTTGAAGGAGTTTTTCATTTCTGAAGACGGGGAGAAAGTTCCCGAGCTGCAGGATGTGGGTTTAAAGCGAACAGGTTTTCCTCCCTCCTCTTTCGAAGACGGGGCTCTGCACGCCCTGCTTGCAGAGCTCAGAATCCGCAATCATGGGCCACCCAGAGGGGGCCAGGGAAGTTACCTGCAAGTGCATTTAAAACCCCCAGACGGGGAGACCCCGGACCCTTTACACCAAGGGTTGTGGGAGTGTGGAGCAGGCCACCCCGGCCGTGCCTTGGGAGCCCATGCAGGCACCAGGTGTCTTTCAAGAAGCAGCGGGGGTCGGGATTCTTGGATCTGAACGAGCTAGGTGGGCCGGGTGGGCGCCTCTGGACTGTGACCCGGCTCGTGATTCCGAGTCCTCGGGCAGTGTGGAAGATCCTCGTTAGCCCGCAGGAACACCTCTGCGAGCCGGCCGGGTTGCTGCGCTGAAGAAATTGTGACGGATCTGTCCGTCTTGCAAGGAGCGCCACTCCTGTTTGTGTTGTGTTGACAGAGGATGCAGTCCAGTCGCTAGGAATTATAGGAACTGGTCTTGACCCCCACCCCCCTCAATCACAGTGGCGAAATGGCAAGAGCTCGTTAAGGGTCTTCTCCAGAATATATATTATATATGATGGCATTGCGTAAACTGCTTTTTTTTTTTTTTTCTTTTTATTTATTTAGTTTTCCCTTTAAAGTTGAAACTTTGGCCCCTTCGGATTCCGTCTTGGTTTGGCCCTTCATTTTGAAAATTTCTTTTTGGTTTTCGGGCGTTTTTTTTTTTAACGGGTTTTTTTTTTTCGGGGCCGGGGTTGGGGGGGTTTTTGGTTTTTGGTTTTGTTATTGAGCTTTTGGTTTGTTGTTTGCGGTTGTTGCAAGGTTTTGCCATTCCAACCCCCCCCCCCCAGCTGTCTCGCTGGTGAAGATCCAGGACTGAGCGAGGACGTCCGGGGACCCCAGAGTGACCGAGTGTCCCCAGCGACGTGTCTTTCTGTTCACGGTTGTGTTGTCATTTCAGGTCAATGGGCATCAGATCATGGATGAGCCGATGGAAGAAGGAGAATCCATCTCCCACTGTGTGAGTACAAAGCCTCTGACTTTGTCCTTGACACCCCATGTGCATCCTGGGATGCTGTTTGTATCCCCCCTGCTCCCAGATTAAAATGAGGAAGAACAGTGATGAGACTGCAGGTGCAAGAGTGTTTTTCTACGGTTGATTTACAGGAGCTGATGAAGGTTGCAAATGTCAGGACGCCAACAAAGTCCTTCTCGGAGGTTTTGATCTGTCAGGGGGTTGCTGCGTTGCAAGTGCAGGGCAGTGGTAGTAGAGGTGTTAAAACAAGATGAGATGCTGACTAGATCAAAGAACTGAGCTGCTAGCAGGCCTCTTCAGACAGGAGCTGGGGAAACACTGGGTTGAGGTAAAACACTGTACAGCTCTTCAGTGCTTTTTTTTTTAAGAGGGGATTTAGAAGGTTTTCAAAGAGCCAGTTTGATCTAGGTTGAGCCTGTTCGAGTCTTTGGGAAAGAATTGGCTGTTTTTATCATTTCTTTATAAAAGCACGCTGAAAACATTTCCAGATATTCTGGTGCCCCTCTGCTTTCGCAGAGAAAACCTCTCCAGTAGGTGTTAAATCATGTACAAGCCAATCCATGCTCTACTGACTGACTGCAGGTTTTTAATAATTTACCTGCTAATGTCCCGGCCAGCGTGTAGCAGATTGGCATGCTGCTAAGCTGATTAGCCTGTCTTTGAAGTTTCATTCCCCCCTCCCTCTCTCCTCTCTCCTCTCTCGGCAGCGGTGGGTCTTGTACAGGGATCACAGCGTGATTAATTATTCAGTGAATTATCTTCCCCTGCCTGGTATCTAGCCGAACACATCTTGTTCAAGGCCCGGCTGCGTGCCGGGTTCATCGATACGACGGCTGTCTGAACTTATCTCCGACTCGCAGGCTCCGAGTGGCCTTGAGCCGAGGAGCTGTCTGTGGGACTCTGGGGCCGATTCCAGGCTTTTCCGCACTAAGGAATCAATTAAGAGCACGTGTAAGGAATTCTGAAAGCCGCCCAACTGGATCACGGCATCTCTTCACGCCCCTGCACTGGTGCACGGTTCCTGTTTCCTTTTCCCTGGCTGTGCCGCGTTAATTACAGCGGTCAGCCCCGGAGACCCGCTCTCTGAAACGCATTACGCCGGCTCTGTCCCCTCGGAGGACGGGCTGTGCTCGTGCTCGTCAATAATGAGTTTGCAGCTCCTCGGAGTGAACTGGTGGCGAGGGCCGTGGGACCCCGCTGGTGTGCTCTTGAGCAAGGCACGTGTCTCGAGCTGCTCCAGTAAGATATCCAGCTTTCCAGCCCTTTTCCAGCAGGTGTAAGTCAGAAAGGGGCACTGGATAAAAGAATTTAATGATTTTACAGTGCTGACCAGATACAGTAGCGGGGGTCAGCTTTTTGCAACTTAATTTTTATTTTTTTTCTTTCCATTCGCAAGCCCACCAACATAAACAAGTTACAGAGATTTCTAAAACAGTCTTGTGCACGTATACATATCTCGCATTAAATTCTCATATATGTACATTTTCATGTATGATGATGCAAATGATATCATTGATCACCCTTCTTTTCAATCATATTCCAAACAAAACTATCCCCAAAAAACATCTGAGATATGCAGATGAGCTTGATAATATTGCTGTGACCTACCCGAGTCTTAATTTGACATAATTACTTTTATATATCTATTAACTTGGGGGAAGAAGTGTTTGGATACCCTTGGTTACTATTACAGTTCTGCTGATTTGTCTCATGGTCCCTCACCTTGTCTGTAAGTAGTTTCCATCTTTCAGAGAAATTCCTCATCTGCGATCACAAGCCCCCGTTAGTACATGGGGATGAGATATTGACCCCAGAGCTGCTGGGGCTTGGTTTGCATGCATGTGCTTTGTGAACCCGCCTGGTGAGACAAGGGCTGTAACATCGTGACGACGCACGGTTGCCATCACTTGAACTCTTTTTGACGCCCGTGTCCCCTTTGCAGGACGAGGGCACCATTAAGGAGATCCCCATCACTCATCACGTGAAAGAGGGGTGTGAGAAGGCGGACCCCTCTCAGTTCGAGCTGCTCAAGGTTCTCGGCCAGGGCTCCTTTGGAAAGGTGAGAGCACCTGTGGCAGGTGCGCTGAAAGGCTGTTCTCCTTACTCCTGGGGGCAGCGCGCACTGTGGGGACACTTGCAGTCCTGTCTCGCCCAGAGACCGCGGGATTACCGGCGATGATGGTCTGCAGCTTTGGCTGTTTTCCGTCTCCCCTTGAAGTTTCAGCTGCTTTAGATCATTAGGGCACGTGTTCGACATATCCAGTAGGACCATGTGCCTCAACCTGTGTTGAACCTTAGTGACCTGCTCCCTGATACCTGTCCTGAAAATGATCCACAGCAAGTCGGTGACGTTATTGAAGGTTCCTCCAGAGATCCATTGGCCTCGCGCCGGTCCCCAGTCAGGGGCCAGGGGGTTGATTAACGTGTCAATAGGAGTGTATTCTGAATATGTTCTTGGTTATGGTGACCTTGTTCAGTGCAATTCAGTGGGACCACCTTTTGCAGTAGGGGGGTTTACTTGGGCTGTGCGTGACAGGACACGGCGCTGGGGTGTTTGGGGTGGGGCTGTAGCATTGCTGTGTGAGTCTGGGGGTTCGGGGTCTCCCGTTGTGTGCCTCTGGTCAAGCAGCCAGACAGCTTTCTGCTTCCCTTGACGTTGGGCTTCTGTCCCGGCCTCTTGTCTTGGCAGGTGTTTCTGGTCAGGAAGATTTTGGGGCCCGACACCGGGCAGCTCTACGCCATGAAAGTGCTGAAGAAAGCGTCTTTGAAAGGTAAGCGCGGCCCAGGAGGCCCGGAGCGCGGGCAGGGTTCTCTCTGCGCATTCTGGGGCGGGTCCTGCAACGTCTTTGCGTTTGTGCTCGGCCGCCTGCAGGTGCAGCCCCGAGCCCCCCGGGTGTCAGTGTCTGCTGCCGGAGTGTCGTCCAGAGTCCGGCTCCTCTGCCACACCTGCCTCGTGTTCCGAGCGAGGTCGGCAGAAACGGAAGCGTGTAGGGAGAACTGGGACCGCTAGTCCTGGTTATTGCGGGTCATTCCCCCTCCTTAAGCTGATTGTCTGCGCTAAAAGAATAGTGTTTGTTTTTTTTCTTCAGACGAGGTTATGGGTACACTCGTGTGGTTTTCACTCGCAGTGAATCGTGTGCACTCCTTGTTCTTTAAAACTGGCAGACCGTGCTGTAGGGCGCGCCGAACGACGCAGGGCCCTCCACAGCGTGTCAGGTTCTGCACAGTGCCACAGTGCGGGGGGGGCTGTGGAGGGGGTCGGGCTCCGCAGGGAGACGGAGGTGTTCGGAGGACGGAGTCACCCCCGCAGTTGGATCACGCTCCGGACCTGTGTTTTCTTCCTGGGGGGCGGGGTGTATGGGTCGGTGAGGACAGCTGATACAGTACAGAAGGGCTGTAAGAGCTGATGAAGGGGGTGCCCAGTGACGCGGCTGGCAGCCACCTGTTCGTGCTGGTTGGCCGCTGCCCTGTCCGGGTGCATTGTGGGTGACAACGGGGGCACCTTATTTGAGAAGTGGCTCTTACAGCCCCACCCCCCAAAAATGGGCTTCTGGGCCGTCAGTGCGGGTGGGGTTGTGAAAGGGTGAGTGAACTGTGCAGGGGACGCGGCAGGACCCCGAATCCGCCTCCGGCCTGGCCCGCCCACGCAGCTCGGCGTCGGGGTGACTCGCAGCCAGGCGGAAGAGTGGAAGTGGGAGACGCACAGAGCGGTGGGGGGGGCCTGGGTGCCGACGCTGTGCCCCCCTGAGTGGCGCAGGGCTCTCTGAGCTGGTCTCCCTCCCCAGGTGTGGCAGAGATTTGTGAAACTGTCGGGGATCGTTCGGGGTCGTCTCGCTTCCGGAGGTTTCGGCATCATGCTGGCGCGCGCGGGGCAGAGATTGAGCTTTTATCGGGCTGGCGTGGGGTGTGCCCCGAAGGTGTGATTTTTGTGCAGTGACGTTCAACGTCCCGTCTCTCTTACTCCTTTCCCCCCTTCCGAACGCCGTCTCTGTATAAACTCGCCGTTTTCTTTTGGTTTTGACAGTGAGGGATCGTGTTCGCACGAAAATGGAACGGGACATACTGGTGGAAGTGAATCACCCTTTTATAGTCAAATTGCACTATGGTGAGTCTCCTGTCCTTTCTGTGTGTACCGATGTGCCCTATACGGGCTGCAGTATATTGCAAACATGGATGACCACGTATAATGCTCTTAACAGTTGTCAGTGCAGTGCTTTCTCACTTGCAAAACAGATGAAACGTCCTAATGCATCGGTCCTGATGTGCTGTGCACAGGGCTCCTTATTATCTCCTTGGCCAAGCCACCCACTCAATAGTGCATTAGTAACGTGACATCTAACAGGGCTGTACGCTTGCATCTATTAGCCAGGGATGTGAGAAGGGTTATGAACACAAGGAAGCTGTTTGGGGCCCTTCTGGCTCGTATGGTCGCTAGCAATTTGATTAGCCAGGAACTCCAGCAAGGCACTTCTGAAAGAGTCCCACACAGTGCGCCAGGAGAAAGGCTAAAGAAAGCACTCCTGAGCAAACGGACAGGGATCTGCTCCAGCTGAGCTAGTTCTCCTCTCTGTCACGCACTGTACTGGCCATTAGTCAGTGCCTCTGTCTTCAAGTGAAGCTGGCTGTGGAGTCGCTGGAGCTCATGTTATGGGAGGGATTAGCTGTGATTGTTGCCAAGTGCTCAAGATGCAGATAACACCAGCCCCCTGCAGAGCTCTAATCCCTGCCTGGCCTGAGCTCTCTCCCTCCTTGACTTCCTCTTTTCCTCCTCTGTTCCCCTCAGCCTTTCAGACAGAAGGGAAACTCTATTTAATATTGGATTTTCTCAGGGGCGGAGATGTGTTTACTCGCTTATCCAAAGAGGTAAGCCGGTCTTCTTCCCTTACTGCGAGACGAGAGTTTTTTGTGAGTTTTACCTGCAGTGTCTTGAGAGACTGCATGTCAATTCAGGGTGACTAAGGCAGCAGGTGGGAGTATCCCTTAGGATTCCAGATTTGTAACTGGAAGATTGGGGGTTCAAATCCCAGCTGGGACTTGAGGGGTGGTGGGAGATGCTGCCTCTGCCTTTAAGAGCCTTGTTTGTATGAATTGCTTACCTGGTTGGGGAAATTTCAAGAAAATTAATTTAATTAATGCAAATTTAAGTCGCCCAGATATGTTTTTCCTGCAAGATGCATGGAGGCCCAGAGTACAGAAGGGGTGTAGATTTTAGAGGAATCCTAATGAGTTCTGCATTACTGATGGAGTGAAAGCCCTGCCTGCCCACCCCCCTCATCTCCACGCTGATGTGTGTGGTCAGCAATGCCAGCTGGCTCGCTGTTTTAAATCACTGTGGCAAAAGCGATTGGCCCTGGGCTTCTATGAGCAGGGTATATGAAGCACATGTCACCATACAGGAAACTAATTCCAGTTTAAAATGTGGGGTCGTCTGATGCCAGTCCCCTCTCCCTCCCCTTGACATTTTTGTTTGGAAGCCCTTACAGACTTTTTTTGAACAGTTTCCAAGGAATCTATTCCCTGAATAACGAACCTTCATTCCCCACATAGCTTCCATCCCCGTTGTGTTCCTGAAGAGGGCGAGGGGGTTGTCTGACTTTCTGTGACAGAATGAATCACTGAGGAATTTGCTGCTTTAACGCTTCACTTATTGTTTTTGCTGTGCTTTTTGAATAATGTCTCATAGCTCCTCTTTGTGAAATGAAATTGCTTGTGTTCTTGTTCTGTGTGTGTTTTTTTTTTCTTATCATGACTTTTGATTTTCATGAAGACAGAGAACAGAAGGTAAATCTATCCAGTTCTTATTAGGTTATGTTTACAGAGGAGGATGTGAAATTCTACCTTGCAGAGCTGGCTCTTGCCCTGGACCACCTTCACAACCTAGGCATTGTTTACAGAGACCTGAAGCCTGAAAAGTAATGTATTCCTCTCCCTTTGCAACCTTTCCTCTCTCTGTGTTGAGACACAGGTGTAGAGCTAGCCTCTTAAAGCCCAGCATAGGCCTTCTGAAACACTTGTAAAAAAAAAAAAAGCATAATTTGTGCACTGCTTAGTGCATACATTTCATTGTGTAATGTGAACAATATTTCTAAGTTTTGCTTGATTATGTATTGTACATATGTGTTATAATGTAAATACGCTATACAGGTTATGATTAGAGGAATTTCAACGGTTTTCATCCCGTCTTTAATTTGAGTTGATAAAATCCGAGCAGTTCTGCCAAATCTCCAGAAGCAAAGTTCTGACTTGTAGCTGGATTTCTGCAGCGTAAGCCGTAGAAGTCGTTCTCCCGTTCTTTAAGACAAGACCTTGTCGTTTTCCTGAGCTTGCCATCTTCTGTGTGGCACCCAAGCAGATACGAGTGACTTGGCAGTACTGTTCGACATGTTGTTCTCATTGAATGTAATTCTGTGCAATGTATTTGTGTACCTGTATTGGAGAATGTGATTTTAATTTTCAGCATTTTGCTTGATGAAGCAGGACATATCAAGTTAACAGGTATGTGTGTTGCTTTCTTCTATTTAATTTCCAGTTTTGCTTAATGTTTTGTCTAATCTCTTTAAGTGAACTGCATGGAAGAGCTGGTCATGCTTACGTAGTTACCTCATTTGCACTGGACTTTTTATTTCTTCTATGGTATTTTAGTGTTGAAAGATGTAAGACTTTGTCCACTGTCACGTGCTTGTTTTTTATTTCTTGTTAATAAGTAATATAATTAATGCGAATCATGTCATGATAGAACTGGCAGATGATAATGGTGTTACATTCAAGCTGTGACTTCTTCATGTTGAAATACATTGGTGAAAGAACTCATTTCCATTTGAAAGATGTAGCCCGACAGATTTCGTGCTTTGTGTCCTCCCGGTGGGAGGCGTGTCTGTTCTCCGACTTTAATCGCGTGTCCCTCCCTTGCAGACTTCGGGCTCAGTAAAGAGTCTGTAGACCAGGATAAGAAAGCATACTCCTTCTGCGGCACTGTGGAGTACATGGCACCTGAGGTGGTCAACAGGCGAGGACACACCCAAAGTGCCGATTGGTGGTCGCTAGGTGTTCTAATGGTATGTCACAATGACTTGCTCCGCCCATTTCTTTCCAGCAGTGCCTCCTGTTTGCTGCTGTGTTAAGATGTCTTTGCGGCACAGCGTGGTGCGCCAGGCTAAAGCGAGCCAGACACCTCTGTGTTAGTGTCTGCTCGGTTTTACGATAGGTGTTTTGTCCAGGCATGTCTCCGTTTCATATCCGCCTGTGTAGTTAAGGAAGGGGACTCGACTGAAGTTTTTAAAAGTCCCGCTCGTCTTTGTCAAGTGAGCCTGCCAAGACCATCCTGAAAGTGTCGGTATTGACGTCTCTCTTGGCGTCGTCATAGGATGAGCTCCCTGTCCAGCGAGTTTTCTGTTGCGGCTTTTTTTAAATGGCGGGGATGTGCTTGCTCGGCAGCCGGGCGTTTGTTTAACGGAATGTCTTTTCCTCTCCCCCCCCTCCAGTTTGAGATGCTCACCGGTACGCTGCCCTTCCAGGGCAAGGACAGGAATGAGACCATGAACATGATTCTGAAGTAAGTGCTCCTCTCCCAGCGGCCGGCCGAGTCCTGCTTGCAGGCCAGGCTGGCGCGGGCTCTTAACTGGGAACCGGGGTGCATGTGTTTTTGGGGTGGAGGGAGGGAAGCTCTGAGAGCAGAGCAGGGCCTGGGGGTGATTGCAAGAGTCTTGAATGTGCCGCTCGAGTGCGTCTTGATCCGCCTGTCACTTCAGAACCTCCTCTTTCCCTGGAAACTGCGGAAGAGCACTGTACCGTTACTGCGCCATGTCCGTTTTTTTTAAGAACATCAAAGCTCAGCAGATTGGGTTTTTTAAATGTCTTCCTTTTCAAGACTTTTTGTATTGCTTTGCATTCCTAGCACTGCCCTTTGGTGTCCACGTACCTGCCTTTTCATTTAATTTAGCCTCTCGTCATTTCACGGTGAGGATGCACTTAATTGTTGTTTTTTTTTCCTTCCGTCAGGGCAAAGCTGGGCATGCCGCAGTTTTTAAGCCTCGAGGCTCAAAGTCTTTTGCGAATGTTGTTCAAACGGAACCCTGCAAATCGTTTGGGTAAGTAGCGTCTTTATTCCGCCAACAGCCAACCACAACCGATTCCCTCTCCTGTTCGGTCGGATTTTGCTGATGGGTGGATGCTTCTCCTTTGGAGATGACGTTGAGTATTTGTAAGGCCAGGGACAGAGAGGGACTATACCAGCTGTTTCCTCTCATCTCGAACCTCTTTTTTCCTTTCTGTTTACTCTGCGGATTTCGTGTTTGCCTCAGTCTTTATCGTGCAGGCCAAGGGAACATGATGCACATTTGTTCTGCAAGCCTAGTTAGAATCATGCGTACTCTGGAAGTGTTCTGACAAGTCGGACTTGTCTCAGGGAATAATAACTGCAGTGTGACGGGGAGCCAGAGAGCGCACTGTGTCTGGCTTCCATGCCACAGTGATCTGAATGGCGTTTCTGTCTCTCCTAGGTGCTGGCTCTGACGGCGTGGAAGAAATCAAGAGGCATCCTTTCTTTTCAACAATAGACTGGAATGTAAGTCCTGCCCATCCAGGAAATGCAAGACTGTTGTTGTCGTTTTTTTCAGTTCCATGCTCCTGCTGTAGGACTAGACCGTTTTGCACACTCCCTTAAACGCTGTAGGTAAATGAGCACATGCACGTGCAGCACCATTTCTGTCCGTGCTCAAGGATCATATCTGGTGGGGACCATACCTGCCTCTCTTCCGTCTGCATCAGAAAAGGGTTTTTTCCTCTGCTGACGGCCACAGTGCCAGCTCTCTCCTTCGCTGGGCTTCAAGACCTTGCCCGTCCTGGAGCTCGGGCAGTGGGCCAGGTGGAGAGGAGAGCTGTGCTAATGGTCTCTGCGTGCGGCTTTTAGAAACCCGCGGCAGTTTATCGAGCGTGAACGGGAAGCCGGCTGCTCATGCAGAGTTCGGGAGGTTAATCTCTTCCTCCCTCCCTCTCTCCCCGCCTGATGGCCAGCTCTTCCCATAATGCATTTACTGCAGGATCACCCAAGGTATATGAGTAAGTGTTTTCACAGAGCTTGTTTTTTCAATAACCTCTCGCTTCTCCCCCCCTGCTCTCTAGAAGCTATATCGGAGAGAGATCCAGCCTCCTTTCAAACCTGCTGCTGGGAAGCCAGATGACACTTTCTGCTTCGACCCAGAGTTCACTGCCAAAACGCCAAAAGGTGAGCGAGGCCCTTCAGCGGGGTAAGAAGAAACAAATTATGGGCCTGTGCATCCCTTTCAGGGTGATCCATTTCAGGAGATAAGGGCTGGTCTGATATAATCTGAGAGCTTAATAACTCAAACCCATTGCCCGTTTTGGACAGAGTTGCACAGCGTGACCTTGAATATTCAACAGTTTGCATTTCTGCTTTACGAGTGCCGTTAACGTTAGAGCCCTGCAGCTTTTAAGACAAGAGACAGCGCGTCATTGCTACGCAGTGGACGGCGCGTCATACGTCAGGGGACTGAGCCTTTACAGCCACATCCCTTCGTCAGTGGAACACTCCCTGACCATATTCAACAGCCAGCGTCTGAGGCTTTTAAATCTCATCTCAAGACTTCTTTCCGGTGGCCTTCAGTTCATAAGCTAGTTCTTTCTTTTCATTTACGTTTAGACGTGTCTTTATTGTTACTTATTTTTTGATTGATTGATTGATTGTGCCTTGCTGGGGTGAAGGTGGCTCCGGTTTGATTAGCCGTCCTTGTGTTTGGTTTTGTGACAGACTCCCCCGGCGTGCCCCCCAGTGCCAACGCCCACCAGCTCTTCAAGGGCTTCAGCTTTGTGGCGCCCGCAGCTCTGGAGGAGAGCAAGAACGCCTCTCTGGTTAACATCCTCCCGATTGTCCAGGTGATTCTTCCTCTTCCTCTTTCTTCTCCTCTGCCCCTCTGCTCCGCGCTTTATAGCTCTCGGAAAGGCAATCAGCCGATGCCCAGAAACGGATAACCACAGCTCAGCTCGGAAAACATCCCTCATACCGCTGGGAGCAGCTCCTGATCCAGGTGCCGCTGCGGTTTCCACACTGAACTCCGTGCCGCTGCAGGAATGGAAGCCCGCCCACATGGCGGAGCAGTCTGAACTGGTTCGGGTCTTACAGGCTGCATGATTCTCTAGGAATCCTGCCGGAGCTGCAGGGGGAGATACGAGGTTTCAGTTCTGCGTCTGTCTGCGTGGGATTGCATAGAATAAAGCACCAAAATGGGAAATATCCAGCTCTTAGTTCAGGTCGGATGAGCTGCTGTGTCCCGAGACAGCATGATTTAATTAAGAGCTTTTTGTTTTCCAGTGAAAAAACTCTTGTCCTGTGATGAGTACAGTACAGTAGCTGAAAAAAGTGATTGTAGAGTTGTAAAGGCACTCGCAGTCACTGGCCTCATTTTATACTCTCCTGCTGTTAGGTTGCAATTTTAACAAGACATGCCCTCAGACATCGCCCAGTTCCGTTCGTCTGGAAGACCTCTAATGGGGGAAAAAAATCAATGTGCTAGAGAAACGCAGCAGTCATGTTTTGGTTTCGGAAAAAATGATGCATCCAGCTTACAGGTGATGTGCAAGCCTCAGGACGCCAAAGCCCTCTGAGCTCTCAGCACCTTAATTGAGCCATTCATTAAAAGCCTGCTTCGCTAATTAGATCTTTAACTTGTGTTCTGTACCGAAGCAGCTGTAGATTTTCACGTTAATTTTGGTTTCGTTTTCTAATGTGAAATCTGGAGCCCGCAGGTGCTGCGGACAGAAAGTGTTGAAAGAGCGCGATATTGGTTCAGGGGAGGAGCGCAGAGCGCTCGGGACGCTGGGGCCCCGGGGCGCCCGACGGGGAGGTGCTGTTGTCGGTGCCACTGGCCCTGGCGTCTCCCCTGTCCCTACGGGCGAAGGGCTGATCATCCTCCCCCTCTGTCTTTGCAGCAGCTGCACGCTGGCACGGCGCAGTTCTCCGACATGTACGAGCTGAAGGAGGACATTGGCGTGGGCTCCTACTCCATCTGCAAGCGCTGCGTCCACAGGGTCACTGGCATGGAGTTCGCTGTCAAGGTACAAGTGGTGGTGGTGTCGTTTCCCAGCAGGGGTGCTCCGTGACCCTCTCATCTAGGGATGGCAGCCTTGGTTCTGTCAGTCCAGCCAAGAGCAGACCTCCGCTCCCAGCTGCAGCTCACCTCTGTGACTCTGAATTCATTTAGAATTGCTTAGTTAGCCCTGCTTCGGAAAGAGGCAGTAATTTAGGATTAAAGGTAGGTGTGCTCTGAAGGCACCCAAGGTCTCTTACCACTGTTCCAGTACTGCTGTCCTCATTCTCAGTCCTGCAGAGGTTTTCATAGGGAACGTGATTCAAACTCAGATTCTGTGTAGGTCATGTGAAATGGAGCACATGAGCGTGGAGAAGGCATTCTCCCCAATGCAGGAGTATTGATTTATTCTCTTCAGTTTTGCTGTGGCGACACAAATACACGCATAACCATCGCCATTGTGAGGGCTTATGTTTTTGTTAATTGTGCTGTTGGTTGTAAGCTGAAAGGCATGCTTAATAATAAGTACTAATGACCAATTATGTAGAGATTTTTAATAATTATTGTGATGTGACTTCAGCCTTGTGGAATACTTGATTGTAGATTTTTAAGACGAACACCAGAGGGCAGTGCTGTCTCACAAAGGCTTTTCACTCTCTGCTCAGTATAAAGCATCCCAAATTTAAAAATGATTATCTAATATCACCCTGGACCTTCCCTGTTATATATTTTTAACTTTTTGAAGGCTTTTATTGCTAATTCATAAATCCCAGCACCATGCCTACCACGCATGAGGTCATCAGATATTGAGATCTAGCTTAGATTAGGGTTCCGTCCAAACTTTGAACCCTGAACCTTGACCCCCCTGACCTGACACAAGAATCCCCCGAGAAATCACATGGCTGTCGCACATCTTAGCATATCGGCTTCAACAAACATGGCCGAGTAGCTTGTTCCAGACACCCACAACCCTTTGTGTAAAGACATGCTTCCTGTTTTCTCAGTTTTAAATGCAGTTCCACATAAGCTACTTGTATTCTGAGGTCCATGTTGTTTTGTAGGTACTGAAGAAGTCTGCTGGGTTGATTTAGTCTGTGGCTTTTGATCGATGAAGTCAGGTTTCCTTGTCAACTTCTCTGTTCAAGGCTGTAAAGGTTCAGTTCTACTACTCAGCTCGGTATCTGCATCAACATCCTGCTTCAGCGTCTGCATGAGGCCCTGCGTGGTTGGCCAGGGTCAGGCTGGATCACTCTGGTCTGCTCTTTTTCGTAGCCAGTGCTCTACCTTGTATGTACAGTCTCCATTGTGCCCGTTTTAATATGACGGGGGTATGGAGGTTGTTGTGCTCGCAAAGGGGTGGTTTAATATTTTTTTGCTCCTCCCCCCAGATAATCGACAAGAGCAAACGCGACCCTTCGGAGGAGATTGAGATTTTAATGCGGTACGGCCAGCACCCGAACATCATCACTCTGAAGGACGTAAGTGGGCTCTGCGCTGGTTTTCCTGCTGTTTTTTCCTCCAATCCGCCTCTCCCGGCGCGGCTGGTGGGGAGAGCAGGCCCGTGCGGGCTGTCGGCGTCTCCCTTTTCTCCTGGCTGAGCCCCTTTGTTCTTCCCCCGCTGTGTCGCCAGTGCCCCTCTCTCGCGCCGGCGGCTGCCGTCTCATTTCAGTCGACGCGCTTGTCTGCTGTCAGGGGCAGATTATGCGTATATATATATCCCGATTTTTTTGATTTCCTTTCCCCTCAGTCTCTCTCCCCGGCAAAAAAAAAAAACCCCAACAACAACAAAGCGACAACAGTAACACAAGCCCTTCACTAGGCATCGCTTTCATGTCGCTCTTAATTGAGACGCCACTCTGCAAACCCTGACAACCTGGGACAGCCGGCTTCTATTCCTGCGCTTTGTGGCACATCGTCTCCTTACCTCTGTGATTGGAAGTGCTTGATCTGTCGTCTCTCTCTGCCTTTTTTTTTTTTCTTGACACCATTGTGTTTGTGAAGCGGACAGCCTGTAATACCAGACGTCCTTAGAGCTACAGCAGAATTTGCTTCCTCAGTTAAACCTTTATTCCCTTTTCTGCGCTTCTCCCTCTTCTCATTCGTGAAAGGGAAAATCCGATCGGATTTTTGTGTGTGTGTGCGTGTGCCGTACAATTTAAACCTCCGCGGAGACGGGGAGGCGCTGCGCGGAAAGGCCGGATCAGATCTCCGATGCTGCTCCAGGAGAGCCGTGTTTAGGGTCCTGGCGCGCACGTGTGGTGGGAGGCGTGAAGACGAGGCTTCTCGGCCCTCTCTCCCCAGGCGTACGACGAGGGGCGGTTCGTGTACCTGGTGACGGAGCTCATGAAGGGCGGGGAGCTGCTGGACAAGATCCTGCGGCAGAAGTATTTCTCGGAGCGCGAAGCCAGCGCCGTGCTCTACACCATCGCCAAGACCGTGGACTACCTGCACTGCCAGGGGGTGAGGCGGCGGTGGGGGTGTTTCAGTGGGGCAGACACATTTAGCAGTGTCTGCCAGGCCTTCGTCCTTAAAGAGCTCTCTTCTTCCTGTCGCCAGGGTGTGTGTGTGTGTGTGTGTCACCCACACCACTAAAAGGTGTGTAACTTGAAATTAAAGGGGGGAATTTTTCCTTGCTTTCCTAAAACCAGTTCCCTGGGCCAAGCTGATGAGACTTACAAGCATTGAGTGAAACGGTTCAAGTAGGGTGCTGTGTCAGCATGCGAGGGCTGCAAAGAGGTTTATCCCAGGCTGAAAGGAAAAGAGACGCAGACTTTCGGCAGTGGAGCCTGATCTCTTAAAGAAGGCTCTACAGCCGAAATGTTGTGTCTCTTTTAATTTTGGCATGTATTGAACCTTTACCTGTTTTTTTTTTTGTGAGGATTGTTCTGGAGAGGGAGACTGGAAGGCTTCTCATCAGCGTAGGGTAGTTGATAGGCTTGAGTTGAGTTAGCAGGGGAGGTAGGACGAGCAGAGGAAAGAGCCATACCTGTGTTCCTGCTGTGCTGAGGAAGACATCGTTTATTTAGCTGATCAGGTTTTCTGGTGCTGCCGAAACTGGGTTAATTTGAAAGCGAATGCCTGATCGATAAGAATATTTAAAGAAATATTTTTTCTATATTTTGACCATTTGTTTTTAGGATTTTGACGTTGTTTTTTTTTGTTGTTGTTGAGATCTCTTGTATTTTAAATGGGTCTGTTTGTGTTCATTTGTTAGAGGTGGAAAAAGTTGAATGTTTAAAAATGAATGTTCATGGGCGACTTTGGTCATATTTAAGTTTAACCAACGGGACCTTGCGTACCCAGAGGGTTTTCGGGAAGGTAACCCCCGCGGCTGGTAAGGGGTTACTCGATGTGCGATGAGAGATGGCTCTGCTTCCTGCTGTTTCCAGCTCGCTCCCCCAGAGGAGTCTGGGACATGTGGTCCTTACAGGGCTGTGCTCTCACGGGACATTCCCAGAAGGCAGTCGGGATGAATGGTGGAGCCAAGCGCAGGAGTAACGCATGCCGATTCCATGGGTGTTCAGCTGCCGCCTTCTTCCACGTAGGTGGTGCACCGGGATCTGAAGCCCAGCAACATCCTGTACATGGATGACTCCGGGAATCCCGACTCCATCCGGATCTGCGACTTTGGATTTGCCAAGCAGCTGCGTGGGGAGAACGGCCTGCTGCTCACCCCCTGCTACACCGCCAACTTCGTCGCCCCAGAGGTCGGTTTTCTCCCCCCCATCCCAGCCTGCGCCTCGTGCCGCTCGCTTCACGAAAGAGGAGGAGGAAACTGAGAAGGATCCCGAGACCCTTTTGAGATTTTTAATTTCGGGGGGAAAAAAGATACCCCTTCACCCGATATAAAAAGTCGTTTCTGTCGTACGGAAACCTCCACATCATCTCTTGGTGTTGATGTAAATAATGAAGATTAGAAATCTCTCTGAATCGCTAAGAAGTAGGACAAGACGGGTGCTGTGAGCTAGGATCAGCCTCCCGCATGACCATAGGGACAGTGATCTGACCCCTGACCTCTGTGTCATCCTGGCAGGTGTTGATGCGGCAGGGCTATGACGCTGCCTGTGACATCTGGAGCCTGGGGGTGCTGCTCTACACCATGTTGGCGGGGTGAGTCTGCCCAGATCCTGCCCGGGTGGGCGCGCTGTCCTCTCAAGACGTTGCCCTGGTGTCCTTGCTGGGGGTGGGGGGGGGTCGTGGAGCTGGCTTCTGGCCGTTGACGTGCAGAGAAGAGAAAGGACGGAAGTGGGAAGCAGGTGGATAATGCTCGGCAGACGCACAAGGCCAGTAAATACTAGAATCGAGGGTGGTGTATTTAACGGGACGACGAAGTGCAAAGGGAAAGGCCTGTGGCCAACCAGCCGAGCACCAGCTTCCCTGGCGCCGATGGGGGCGGGGGGGGGTTGAGGATGCCCGCTGGTCTGCGCCCAGGTGTCTGAGTCCTGCCACCTTGTCTCCTGCCCAGGTACACGCCCTTCGCCAACGGCCCCAACGACACGCCGGAGGAGATTCTGCTCCGGATCGGCAGTGGGAAGTTCTCCCTGAGTGGAGGCAACTGGGACACTGTTTCGGAGACCTCCAAGGTACGGATTGGCGCCCCCCCGATGCACCACTGGAACAGTAGCTGATGTGTTAGCATGTGGACACAAGAACACGCTGTGCCCCCTGCTTTTGGCACTTATATGTTGTAAAAGAAGGTGCCATTAGCTGTATAAAATCAGTGGGAAGTTCCCTCACCCTCTCTGGGGACAAGCTCCCAGATGTTATCGCCACATTAAGAGTAGCAGAGCACATCCATACACACAGACTTCCTGCTGCCCTCGTGATGAAGTTGGGCGTGCCATATTTAAAACCACCGAGACAGATTCACCCTCTCTTCTCTCACCGCGGAGGGGTCGTGTCTGATCTGCAGTTCACGACTCTGAAATTCCTTAAGGGGTCTCGCAGAGGAATCTTAGTCCAGGTCCGGTGACGGGTTGCACCAAGCACTTGGAGTAAATTCCCCCCTTGGGTACTTTTTCATTTTAAGGGTGCTGCAATGAGTACCTCAATGCATGAAACTGATCATGTAGATAATGTAGAGGAAAGCACACCCGTATTTAGTAAATACCCTCTGTGTGTGGCAGGACACTGGTGGCGTATGCCTGTAGTTGGAAGGGTGATGGTGGGTGGAAGTCTACCTGTGTTCTAGCTCTGATGTGTTTCAGTCCTGGCGGTACGGTGTACCAGACTCTTGTCTGGGTCGTTTGCTTGGGCCTCGGCATTTAATGTCGCTGCAGTCCCGTATGCAGTAGTTGAGCACAGTAATAGTGACGCACAGCCTGTCCTCCGTCAGCACAGAAGGTCATGCATGTTTGAGATAAAACCATCCTCATATAAATCTGATACAAATATACTTGTATGCAATCTGAAAGGCCTTTAACAGGGTTTTTGCCCTCTAGATGAACAGGAGCTCAGTGTGTTAGAAATGTTGCCATGTTTACAGTCTGTTTTTTCTTCCTTTGATATGTGTGTGTATGTATATATATAACGTTGTTTCTTCTTGGTTCGGAGTGTTAACCCTGGTCCTACCTGTGACGATTTTGTTTCAAATGTAGGACTTGTTGTCCCATATGCTTCATGTAGATCCACACCAGCGGTACACGGCAGAGCAGGTGCTAAAGCACCCCTGGATTGCCTGCCGGGACCAGCTGCCCCACTTCCAGCTCACACGGCACGACGCCCCACACCTGGTCAAGGTAGGTTCACACCTCATCCGCCAGCCGCCTCTGAGCACAGAGCCGAAGAGACAGGCAGGAGCTGCCACGCCCTGCTCCCAGCCCGGCGGGGGGGGGGTGGGAAACGGGCCTTAATGGGGTCCTTGTCTCAGTGGTGTCGGACCCATACAGCCGTCAGAGTAAGGGCCGGCTGAGGTTCTTGGATCAGTTGGAACCGAACGGCACCCTCTCGGTTCCCATCGGCGCTCTTCTGATTTGTGCACGGAGGTGGCAGTGGTTGTTGTTGTTGTTGTTGTTGTTGTTGTATACCTTGTCCCTCCAGAAGGGTGATATGTCTTTAGCATCATCATGAAAAGCTACAAAAACAAATAAACTTGGCAACGTCAGCTGACGTGAAAAACCAATAGCCCCGGCCGTGCAGCAGTGGGTTTACACACACACACACACCTTGCTCTGCCCATATTACACATAATCCGAGAGCTCCGTACAGGAAACAGTCACTTAGCTGAGTCTAATGTACCGACAGCATAGGGAACAAAGGATTTCTTGTAGACATTTCCCTTGGCCACAGGCATCCTAGACCACCTTCCTGAACATAGCAGCTGGAAATGGGAATGAAGAGGGACAGTAAAATAATATCTCACAATGAGCCTATGAGCCCCACGAATAAACCACCAGCTACATCACCCTACAACTCACCACTGGGAGCCCCACTGAAGCTCAGCAGGTGTGAGCCTGGCCAGTACCTGGATGGGAGACCTCCTGGGAAAGCTCAGGCTGCTGCTGGAAGAGGTGTGAGTTGGACCAGTAGAGGGCGCTCACCCCGCTGCCTGTGTGGGTCCTAATGACACTATATGCAGAAAGGCGCCGTCTTTCAGATGAGCCGTAAAACCAAAGTCCTGACTGTGAGCATTTAAAATCCCAGGACGCTTCTCAAAAAGAGTAGGGGTGTTACCCCCCGGCTTCCTGGCCAAATTTCCCATTGGCCATTACCAGTATGGCCTCCTAATAATCCCCATCTCTGAACTGGCCTCATCACTCTGCTGTCCTCCTCACTGAGAGCTGGTGTGTGGGGAGTGTACTGGTGGTGGTGGAGGGGATCCCCATTACCGGTAAAGCGCTGGTCCAGAAAAGCGCTATAGAAGTGTAAGGATTATTTTCCTTTTTTAACCCCGTGCTGTTGTCTCCCTTTCCCGGCAGGGCGCCATGGCGGCTACGTACTCTGCACTGAACCACAAGACCTGCCAGCCCGTGCTGGAGCCTGTGGCCGCCTCCAGCCTCGCGCAGCGGCGCAGCATGAAGAAGCTCACCTCCACGGACTTGTAGTGGAAAACCCCGGGGTGTGTTTGTTTTTTCTGCGGGAGGGGGGAGAATGGGCGGGCGTTGCGGATCTCTTTATTTTCTTCCCCACCCCGCTATCCTTAAACTCGGCCGTTGCAAATCCCACTTGTCCTCCTGACCCAGAACTGGTGCCCATGTGCTCGTCCCGGGGGTCTGAGTTCTCCCGAGCAGGGCATGCTGCTCCCTCTGCTGTGAGATCAGATCCGGGGGAGGCTGCTTTCCCATTCAGCACAGAGGGATCCCCGTGCATTGATTTTTTTTTTTTAAGGAGCAAGCATATGTGATAGTGCTGGGAAAAACATCTCCATTTTCTTTTTTCTTTTCAACACCGTCTCCTTGCCGAGGAACACACCAGCTCTCACTTTCCATTCACTGTGATTGGCCACTCTCGGAGCTCCTTCGGCAAACTGCGTGTGGCGTTGAGAGAGATCGGTAGCGATCGGGGCAGCCGGGGCCTGTGCCTGGGCCTGCTGTGCTCAGTACGGGAGGGGTGGGCAGCGAGCATGGGCAGGCACCTGTTTCTGCCCTGGTTCCCACTCTCTCTCTCTCTCTCTCTGTCCCTCGCTAGTTCATCCCCAAAACCCGAGCGGCATCTTAGCGAAAAACCACATCCGGCAGTAAGAAAGTAATCGCTTGCATTCGTCATTCAGGATTATTAGTCGGGCACAAGGCCTGAGCTACAAAGGTATGAAATATCCGGATTGCCCGTAACCCGCATTCCGTTCCCGAGACCACAGGAGCGGACAGGGAAAACGGTGCGTCTCTTCCTAGCTGGCGCTGTGCGCAGCTCCTGGGATTGGGAAGATCCCAGCGCAGGAGCTGCTCCCAGTGAAGCAGTATAGCTTTGGAGGATTCCCATGTAATAAATACAGGGCAATGTTTTTTTTTTCTTTCTTCCAGAAAATGTTGAAGCACCTAGTTTTGGTTTAATATTTTCCAGATATATCTATATTTATTTATTACAACTTACAAGGTTGCTCACTCTTTTCTTTTGCGTCTTGAGGTTTGCACACAGACAAGGTGAGGCGTTGCTTTTTTTTTTTAACAGAGGTATTGAGTATTTTTGTTGTAGCTTCAGAGATATAGATTTTTTTTTTATTTCCTTGCCTTGAAAAGGTTGTCGTTATCTTATGTGGGTGTTTAAAAAAAAAAAATCAAAACCAGGTCAAGAAGTGTGAATTGTTACACGGTGAAGTGGCTGTAGGTACGGTTTTATCCCACGGGGTTAAAGGTCAACAAATCGGGGGGATGATGGGATACAGGGAATCCTCAGTGTGAATACGAAGAGCAGGAAGTCCAGAGGACCTGCCTGCTTCAGCATCGCGAATCTCTCTTCGAAGACATTGTGGAAATTGTATCATATTGTATTTATTTCATTTAATTTTTTAAAATATATTTTTCTTTCAAGGTCTGTATATATTGACATTAAAGATCATTATGGATGTGCTGTTTTCCCGTCTGTTTCTGTGCTTCTGTTGAGTGCACCTGTATATGAACACGCTGTGCATTGTGCCAGGTGACATTGTAAACATTTGCTTGGCTTGAGTGCAGCACAAAAGCCCTGAATGCAGGACTTTACTTAAAAAGTCATTATTTTCAGGTATAATTTATAAGCCCCAACCCTCAAATCCCAGTGGCTGACTTCTAATCATGGTCTTGTTGAGTTTTGAAGAGGCAGAAATATATATTTTCTCTCAGTTCCCCATCTCTCTGAGCCCCCAAGCCCAGTCACATAGCAGGAGCGTTTTCTTAAAACAATATTTAACAAAGCAATCATTAAACCTTTTTAATGTGTAAGATCAACAGTTTGTCCTGCAGCTGATAATTGCAGAAGCACTCTGTTGTGCGTGTGGTAACTCTTGCAATACTGGCAAACAGCTGTAGATGAACAATTATTAATGTCTGGGCAAAAGTGGGAAATGCACTGCGTCAAACATCAAACATGGCAATCGTCCTGCAGCACGGGCTCTGCCAGTTAAATTTCCTACAAATTAAATTAACCTGTTACTCCTGCGTGAAAGGGGTTCAGAAACCCAGCATCTGGAATGGGAATGATCTCTAGCCCTGTCCGGTCTTCATTGACCTTGCAGGAAAAAAAACTCTTGTGACATCAGCGGTTCCGTGAAGCTCAGCGAGGGCTTCTGGAGCAGTAACGCTACTGACCGGGAGCTCTGCTGGTGACGAAGCGGACGCGGCGCGTTTCGGGGACCAGGACACTGGACGCCCACCTCCTAGAGCTTCTCCCCGTCCTCCAGGGTCTCGGGCAGCTTCCGGCCCAGGGTCTCGGGCAGCCGCAGTGCCAAGAGGCTTGCCCCCGTCGCCATGGTGCCGAACAGGACAAAGGGGGCGGGCTTCCAGGCGTCGGCCATGAAGATGACCCAGGGGCAAGCGATGCAGCCCAGCCTCCCGAAGGTGTTGCACAGCCCCACCCCTGTGCTCCTGCCGAACACACAAGAGGACGTGCGCAGAAGAGTGTCAGATGACATGCTGGTCGATGAGGAACTGTAACAGATTCAGTACTGAAAAGCTCTTCCACAAAACCCCTCGCTGTTTTTTTTAAATAGATGTTTTTAGAATCAACCAGACCTTCAATAATGCTCTCGAGCATCGAGCTACAGATGCAGAAAAAGTTATATCGAAACAACGAAATTCAAAGAATTCTCCGACTTCGGTATAAGCTGGACTCGGATCTCAGCTCGGAAACCTGGTCCCACTCCATTGGCCTGGAGCGCAGGTGCACCTGAGTGAGGCAGGTGAGCCAGGGCGCTCCTCACAGGGAGCTCTGGCCTTAGACCGCTGTTACCTGACCGCTGTCGGCAAGATCTCCACTGTGTAGAGCAAGATGCAGGTGAAGGACGAGGAGATCAGGAACTGTCCGGCCAGGCAAGATCCCACTGTTGGCCAGCCCATCTCTGGAAGAACAGCAGTCAAGCAGATTAGACCTCAAGCCCATGGACCTGCAGCCCTGGTGCTTTATTGCTGCCCAGCACTAACCTGACACGCAAGGCGGGAGCGCTGTGTGTGCAGTATACTGTATTTTCCTGCTGGCCACAGAACCAAGACAGCCCTGCTTCCCAGCTTTTTAAGTTATTGTCAGCTGTGTGTTTTATTTCCTGAGGTAAGCAAGAAGAGAAATGATTCTTCTCTCCATGGCTGTAGAGGGGGCAGCTATTTGGAGGGGGGGCGCAGCACGTCCTGCACTTTTAAACCCTGTGGTCTCTCACTGAATTAAAAAAAGAAATGGGTTTGGAAATCGGGGGGCTATAAGTACATATTATTTTGTGGTCAAAACCATCAGGAAGAAATACATCTGCTGTGGCCGGCTGGAATTCTGAGCCCGGAAGTCTACTGTCCAGAGGTGCAATCACTGGGAAAAGCTCTCACATGTCAGGAAGGCACCTGGCATCACTAGAGGGGCTTAAAGTGTCGCTGATCTGCAGAGCTCAGGACAGATTCAGAACGGATGCACAGGTGCCACACTGACGACTCAGGCTCGCCTGTCCGCCACACAAGACTGTCGCGCCTCCATCCACTGCTACAGGGTTGCTTCAGGATTTCTGCTCCGCGTGAGACGGGTGGGCTGTGCAGTGGCCGACAGCCGGGGGGGGTGCTCACCGTGCCAGGCGAAGCAGGCAGCGGCCAGGCACGCGCCGCCGCCCAGCAGCTGGGAGGCCAGCAGGAGGGACTTCCTCTTGATCCGGTCCAACAGGAGCGCCAGGCCCACCTGCGCCGGCACTTCACACAGACCCATCAGCAGGAAGTTGATGTACAAGTTCCCGGCCAGGTTCTGGGTGTTGAGGAGCAGGCCGTAGTAGGCGCAGCAGATGGAAAACCTGTGCGGTCGAGCAAGCAAGAGCCTGGAGGAGTATTTTATACTGAAAATTGGGTACACTTCCTCATCCAAGGTTACATACTGCAGGTCACAAATCTCCTCTCTCTCTCTAGTATGTCTTTAGTCTTTGTGTAATATGTATAATCAGGTTATCTGCATGTTTTAGCGGGATCTTCTTGAAGAATGCAGGCCAGGCTGTTTCTTGGCCTGGTTACTGTGGATCCTAAGTGACCCGACGCGGCGGCCCAGGACGTACCAGTTGATGCACAGGACGACTGTGTTCCTGCGCAGGTTCGGTTTTCTCAGCAGGTCCAGCGCTGTGCGCTTCTGCTCCTCAGAGCTGGGGTGCTGCGCAGACAAAGACGCTGGCTCAGCCCAGCGCTGCAGAGAGCTCCTCGATATCCTCTCCACAGCTGGCCTGGGCCGGTGCATCCTCTGTAACTGGCCAGGCGGCGTGAGTGGACCGCGAAAACTACTGAACTGTTTCAATACTGAAAACTATTGAACTGTACGCTTGCAAGAGTTAATAATGCACCTACAATATCTAGCCTTCGTTTCCTTATTGGGCACCATTACCAGCAGTAGAAGCTTTGCTGTGTATTGCCGTACAACAGTGGGAATGTTGCTGAGGCCCTTCCCTGCTCCCCCGGCTGCTCGGTGCTGCCATGATTGCTGGTGCCCTGATTATGTGTCTGCAGGGCGGCTGGCCTACCTTGTGGCTCGGGCTGCCGATCAGGGTGATGGCGGC